TAATAGCATACAAAAACAGTTGGACATTAAAATTCATTGAGGAAATAGTCTGGAAGGACAAGTTGAAGACAGAAGCTCATTATCTCCCGCACCATGGAGTCAGGAAAGGATCTGAAACCACTCCACTACGTGTTGTATATAATTGCAGCGACGTGCAAATAAAGATGATAGGACAAGTCTTAATGATGTCTGATGACCGGACCCTCACTAAACAGAGAGCTTGGAGACGTGCTTATGAAAATTTCGCACAAACCATTGCCTACACGGCTGATATTTCCAGCTTTCTTAAGAGTAGACTACATGAAATAGATTGGATTATATCGATTATTGTGGCTGAAAATCCACATGATCCCTCAAAGTCCAGTGAAAACTTTCGTTTCAAATCAGTATAATTTGGTTGCAACAACCTCTTACATTCTTACTAGAAGCTACTCTGAATAACATTTTGAAGAAATCTGAAAGTTCCTTCAAAGAAATCTTAAAGAAAAGTTTTCTATGTAGACAATCTTCAATGTACTCGTGATAAGAGGAGATTGAATAAAAATCCTTATCAAGAGAAGCTAACAGGAGATGAAGGATGCAAATATGCCTACTAAGGATGTGGAAATAATAATTCAGAGCATTAAGGGAACTTATAAAAAGAAGAATTCCCTGAAGCTGAAATTCTGATTGCAAAACTATGCTGGGACTTATTGGAACACACAGGAAGAATACTTTGAGTCTCAAAAAAGATAAACATTAAATCATGCACAGTACACTCACCTAACACGTCAGTTTACTGTAAGAGGTAACACAATGTTTGATCCTCTAGGGACTCGTCTCACATTACCCATAAAGGGTAAAATGCTTATGCAAGATGCATGGAAGCTCAAATTGGATGGATGAGAACTTGCTCTAGAAATGAGTCAGAAGGGATGAAATATCCAAGGAGTTTAAGCAACTTCATCAAATTAAATATTTTGTTTTTTTCCCAGACAAATAGGTAAGAGGGCAACAAGTACACTTACATGTGTTCTGTGATGCGTTAACCAGAGGTTATTGGCTGTATGCTTACATGTGTAATGCGAAGGGAAGTACACTAATTACTTCAAAGGCCAGGGTTAGAGCACCCTGAAGGTCAGCACAGTACACAAATTGGGAACTGCCAGCACTCTATGTAGGTACAAATTAGCTGTCTATCTCATACAAAGTACTGATCATTCACTATTGAAAAAACCGTGATCTGGAGTGATAATGAAGCAGTTCTCAGTGGTTATGATATAATAAGAGTAAGCTGGTATATGTACAGAAACAGAGTAGCAGAAATAAAAGAGAGCAGAGAGATTATCTCTTTGCTCCCAGTCTCTACAAGAGAATCCAGCTGACATGTGTTGTCACGTGTTGTCCCACTTAAGAATTTGTGGATAATATATTATGGCCTCACGGACCCAACTGGCTTCTAATGAAAATAACTTGCCTCAGACAAAAAGCTCACATTATGCCAGAAGAAACAGTCTGCTTGGAACACAGCAGAAATAAGTTTGCTAAAATACTGCAAAACACAACAGAAATAATCATTGATGGACTCTAAATATATGTTTGGGTAAACTTCTTAGAGTTACAGCTCTTGTCTTTAAATTCATAAGTAAGGAATTAACACCTGATTAGAATATCTGACCATTAAATACTGGTCGAAAAATCTATACAGAAAGATGTTTTCTCTACAGAAATATAAATTCTGGAAACACAAGATAAATCCCCAAAGAAACCTGTCATGATTTAATCTTTAGGACTTAATCTCGATCAGAAAAGATTATAAGATGTCGAGGAAGAATTCATAATTCTTCACTACCTAAAGAAGCCATACATCCAATATTGATCCCCAAGAATCATTGGCTAACAAAACTGATTGTGCAAAACGCCCACAGTAACGTGTTACATGGTGGGGTAGCTGACACACTTTGTTATATACGACAATCCTACTGGATACCTCAAGGTCGACAAAGTGTGAAAAAACAAATAAGGGACTGTATTACTTGTCGTCACTGTTACGCGCCCCTACTTCACTCCATTATATACAAAAATAAAAGGCCTGGTTAAAATAAGTTCTGTAATAATATATCGCGAACCACTTTATTACTAGCTAGATAAAGCAGGTTCGACTATATATTATTATCGGGTACAGTATGAATCATCAAAAGTACAGTGGACCCCCGCTTAACGATCACCTCCAAATGCGACCAATTATGTAAGTGTATTTATGTAAGTGCGTTTGTACGTGTATGTTTGGGGATCTGAAATGGACTAATCTACTTCACAATATTTCTTATGGGAAAAAATTCGGTTAGTACTGGCACCTGAACATACTACTGGAATGAAAAAAGTTCGTTAACCGGGGGTCCACTGTACTCTCATTGTATTATATTGTATTATATTATATTATTATTAGGTTAGGTATTACGAATGTGTAACCACTACTGTAGTGACCAATTGGTGGTTCTAGAATTGACGCCACGCGTCGCCTCCTGGCAGAGCTGAAGTCATACTATGGAGTAGTTGAGTGAGTCAGTCAGCTCCTAGCTCTGACTCGGTACGGGTCTTCAACCCAAAGCTCCTAGCTTAAACTAAAACTTTATTCCAAGTCTATTGTCTTGCCTTTGCCATTAGTTTCCTGAAGTCTGGTAATTCATGTCACTTATGAAAGATAACTATTCCGTGACCCTAGACCTTTCTAAAAGAGTTAAATGGTGAGATTAGTAGATTATTAATTGAAATTATTGTATCATACTCCGTTAATGAGAATTTGAATGTAAGATTGGGTTTCTTGCTGTATAGTATTTCATTTATAATTGCTTGTGGTTATTTTAATTCACTAACCAAATACCAATGAAGCTAAATGATTGGTAATAAAATAAAAAAAAAAAAAAAAAAATGGAGTTATTTGTGCCCCTATTGTTACGGTGAAGATTAAGTCGTAACAAATGGGTTGTCTGTCCGGGAGCTACTTACCCTGAAGTACATATTTGTTTTGCATTAAAATTAAGCTCCCTTGCGAGAATTAAGAAAATGGATCTAGAAATTAAGTCATTATTAGATGAATTAACAGAGGCTACTCTTGACACTTTAAAATTACAGACATGTTGGCAAATAGCTAGACAGTTAGATATACCTTATAATAGATACCATAGCGCAGAGACTCTTAGGTCCCTAATTAAGGATAGATTATTTCCGAAATCCCAAGCCATGCAAGAATTAGATTCAGAAGATAGTTTTATTTCTCAGTTCGAGGAAGTAGAAATCCCACGGACGGGAACTGCCTTAAATAATGAAGTTGAACCAGGGTTTACAAGGCCTTACTACTCAGTCCAGTCTCAAAGCTCTCCCCCGTTCACTTCCCCGGAGTATGTATCGGTGGTTGGAACGAACCCTCAGTTAAATGACGGGGATAATTTTAGGACTGGTGCTCGTCCCAAAATACTTCCGGAGAAGACGCCCGAATTCCCCTCGGTGTCATTACCTCTTGGGAATTTCACGTCCGAACAACTAGAGAGAATAGAACGCATATTACTATTACAAAACTCTCAAATCAAAGCTAGAAGACGTCTAAACGAGGAAGAATTTAGGCGTGAAAGGTTTCTTTTTGAAACAAAGCAGAAGGGAGTTCCGGAAGAAAGAGACGTGAAGAGCACGGTAACCGGGTTTGACTTGCATAAAGCAGCTCTGATGGTACCTAAGTTTAACGAAACAGACTTAGATGAATTCTTTGAAATTTTTGAGAATCAGGCACGTTCAATGGGCTGGCCCAAAGACAAATGGGCCACATTACTGCATATATGGAAAGGCGCAGTCTTGTGTCGCCTCCTTACCATATGAGTTTTATGTCCAGTACGATGTAGTAAAGAGAACTATTTTAGAAGCATATGACATGCTCCCTATTAGTTACCAAATAGCTTTTCGTTCCATGAAACGGCAAACAGGACAAACTTATTTAGATTTTGCCCGAGGGAAAGCAGTGGCGTTTGAACGTTGGTGTCGAGCTTCTCGGGTCACGACTTTAAAAGATCTATCACAATTAATGTTACTAGAAGATTTGTATGCAAATTTTCCGGAGGGAGTTCGCCAGTATCTTGTTGGCCATCCGCAAACGACGTTGTTAGAGACTGCCGCGTTGGCAGACAACTTTGAGATTTCCCAGAGGTTGGTACAATCTGAAAGCAGCCAGGTTATCAAACCAGCAACGAGACCCGAACCTGCAAAGCCTTTCGGTAAGCGACCTACCCAACCCGTTCACTCCCGTGTAACAAGTAAACCCGAAGTAAAACACCAAATTCAATCGAGCTCATCCTATAGACCAGATAGGTCATGGGAAAAAATTAAATGTTCGTACTGTTCGAAGCTGGGACATTTCAAATCACAATGCTTTAAGCGTGATAGGGACCAGGGAAGGAGTCCATCATATAGATTGCCCACACAAATAATATCCTCTACGACTCATCCAAGGAAGTCCGAGCCAAGAGTAGACGCTCTGTCCCAAGGAAAAGGAACAGATCCTCCTAGTTGACTAAGCAGAATATGGGTATCATCGTCAAACTTGTCAAGGGCTTGAGTCCTTACTTTTCCAAAAGCAAAGTAGGAATTACCGATAGCCATTGTTGCAAGTAAATTCCTTTAGGGATACGGGGTCACTACTTAACATTATTAAGAGAAGGACTGTTATCATTCCCCGCCCAGATCATATACGGGTTTCGACGCTCTGTTGAAGCTTAGGTGGCTCCACTACGCGAGTACCCCTGTACAAGTTATATGTTGAAACTCCTATTTTTACAGGCTGGGACGTCAATCGGAGTGTCTCCAACTAACTTCCCATAAAAGACGTAGACCTATTGATTGGGAACGACTTAGCGGAAGAAGGAATATGGAAAGAGCCCATAGTTATGGAAAATCCAACCGAGGAAAATTACGTCATCGAAGCCCGACGAACGGAACCTACCCTCTTTCCTCTGAGCGTAGTAACCCGGGCGATGACCAAACAGTCGCGTTCTCCATTGGTATCAGAGGAAGTCATGGACGACGTCGACGTAGGAGTAGGAGACATATTCAACGAAAGCTCGAGTGTCGAGCCAACAATCCACCCAGAACCGATACCAGTTCCTAAGTCGGTGGTTTCCGAAATAGATTTATTCCCGAAGGAGGATCTAGTAAGAGAACTCCAAATAGACCTCTCCTTAAGTGACATCAGGAAGCTTGCTGTGTCGGGAGAAGAAGCCCTTAAAGGTGACAGCTCTTACTATTGGGAGAAGGACTTACTGAAAAAGAAACTAGGATCTCTTAAAAGTGATCATCTAGTGGTCTTGCCTACCCCGTTTAGAAATTTAGCATGTAAGTCTGCTCATGACAGTCCTCAAGGTGGACATCTGGGACAAAAGAAGACTTTTAGAAAAATTGCTAAGCACTTCACATGGCCAAAAATGAAGGAAGAAGTGGAACGGTATGTAAGAAGCTGTTCCGTGTGCCAACTAGTAGGCAAACCTGCTCATAATCCACCACCTGCGCCGCTGAACCCTAAACAAGTAAGAGGCGAACCCTTTTCACATCTGGTGATAGACTGTGTCGGCCCACTACCCAAGACTCGGCAGGGCAACCAGTTCCTGTTCACTATCATGGACACAGTCACCAGGTACCGGAAGCAGTTTCCTCTCAGAGGATTAATGCTCGCCTAATAGTGAGAGCACTGATTAAGTTCTTCTCTCACTTCGGATTTCCAAGAGAAGTTCAATCGGATCAAGGGTCGAATTTTACTTCAAAATTTTTCCGTGAAGCCTTGGCTCAGTTAGGGGTCAAGATGGTTTACGCGACGGCCTATCGACCCCAATCACAAGGCGTGGTGGAAAGGTTCCATCAAACTTTGAAGATTATGATGAGGTCCTATTGTTTACAGTATTCCAAAGATTGGATGAAGGTATTCCACTACTCTTGTTTGCCCTAAGAGAAAGCGAACAAGACAACTGAAGTTTTCCGCCATTTGAGTTAATTTATGGGCATCAAATTAGAGGACCAGTACAGGTTCTCAAAGAAGCTTGGACCGGGAAAGAAATGCCGACTTTTAGGAGCTCTCCTACCTTAATGAAAGAACGCCTGAGCCTAGCTAGAGAATTGGCCGCCGAAAACTTACGACAAGCACAGAGTAAGATGAAGGAGGAATACGATCGTCGAACTAAACTTCGTTCATTTGAACCAAAGATCAAGTTCTGGTTCAACGATTTCATCAGGGACATGCTCTACAGCTCAAATTTGAAGGTCCTTTAGAAATCGTGAAGCGCCTAAGTGACATGAACTACTTGGTAAGGACGCCGAAGAAGAGGAACTCACAACGGACGTATCGCGTATAACCAACTTAAACCCTATTCAGGAATCGTTTCACCAGTTTCTACTAATAACTCCTCTGAACCAAGAACGGGTTCCAGTAAGTTCGGATGAAATGATAGGAATACCAGTTCTTCTGAACAATTCGACAGCCTTAAAGAATTTAAATTCTCTACCTGATAAATCTGGAAGTGGACAAAGGACACGAAATAAAATCCCTGATTAAGGCAAATCTCCACCTATTCAATGACGTCCCAAAACCGTGTACGTTGGGTGTGCACGATGTTACTCTCAGAGAACCTACTCCAATCAAGCAATCTCCCTACAGAGTGAGTCCCAAGAAACAAGGTGAGCTAGAGGCAGAGGTGAGCTTCTTACTCTCACACGGGTTGATAAAACCAAGTAACAGTCCTTGGGCATCCCCGTGCATTCTAGTCCCCAAACCAGATGGGACCTCCCGTATGTGCACGGATTTTAGAAAAGTCAATGCTGTAACAGTACCTGATGGGTTTCCAATACCCAGAATTGACGACTTAATAGACAAGGTCTCCAGAGCTAAGTATATCAGTAAATTGGACTTGTTAAGAGGGTATTACCAAGCCCCGTTGTCACCAAAAGCTCAGGAGATATCGGCTTTTACGATACCTGGTGGCCTATACAAGTACAGTGGACCCCCGGTTAATGATTTTAATCCGTGCAAGAGGGCTCATCGTTATGCGAAATAATCGTTATGCGAATGAATTTTCCCCATAAGAAATAATGGAAATAAAATTAATCCGTGCAAGACGCCCAAAAGTATGAAAAAAATTTTTTTTTACCACATGAAATGTTAATTTTAATACACACAAACTGAAAAAGGCATGCACAATTAAATGACACTTACTTTTATTGAAGATCTGGTGATGATTGATGGGATGGGAGGAGGGGAGAGCATTATCTTCTTACTGTTTAGAAGGGGAATCCCCTTCCATTAGGACTTGAGGTAGCAAGTCCTTTTCTGGGTTACTTCCCTTCTTCTTTTAATGCCACTAGGACCAGCTTGAGAGTCACTGGACCTCTGTCGCACAACAAATCTGTCCATAGAGCTTGTACCTCCCGTTCCTTCAAGACTTTCCTAAAATGGGCCATAACATTGTCATTGAAATAGTCACCAGCACGGCTTGCAACAGCTGTGTCAGGGTGATTTTCATCTATAAAGGTTTGCAGTTCAACCCACTGTGCACACATTTCCTTAATCTTTGAAGTAGGCACAATGGATTCCACAACTGGCATAGGCTTCTCAGGGTTAGCCCAAACCCTTCAAAATCTTTCTTAATTTTCCATACTAATTCTCACCCTTTTTACCACAGGGTTGGCACTAGAAGCTTTCTTGGGGCCCATGGTCACTTATTTTCCAGAAACAGCACCGAAAACACTGTAATAATACGAAATATTCCGAGTGTATGCTTGGATGTTACCGCGGAGGCTGGCTGGTAAACAATGGGACGGCCGGCACATGTGAGGGCACATTGGACGCGTCTCGGACGAAAATCGGTAAGCGGGTTTTTAATCGGTAAGCGCGGCAAAAATTTTGCGATAAAAGTAATCGGTATGCGGAAAAATCGCTATGTGATGCCATCGTTATGCGGGGGTCCACTGTATTGCGTTATGCCCTTCGGCTTCTGTAACGCGGCTTCTACATTTCAGCGTATTATGAACATACTTACAGGTGGATTGGACGGAGTTGAAGCTTACTTAGACGACTTAGTCGTATACAGCGACAGTTGGCCCCAACACCTTAAACAGCTTAAAGCCTTGTTTGACGCCTTAAGTAAACATAATTTTACAGTGAATTTGTCCAAGTGTGAGTTTGGCCAGACGAAAATTAAATACTTAGGATTTCGGATTGGACAAGGTGAAGTTGCTCCTTTGAACGCCAAAGTAAAGGCCCTCTTAGAATTTCCTACCCCTAAGGATAGGAAAAGCGTATCACGATTTTTAGGAGTTGCTGGTTACTACCGTCGGTTCTGTCCGAATTTTGCACAGGTAGCTTTTCCCCTAACTGAATTAACTAGTCCAAAAACAAAGTTTTCATGAACCCAGGACTGTGAAATTGCATTTAATCGTTTAAAAAGATTACTATCCTCTTCCCCAGTATTGCTAAGTCCTGATTTTAATAAACCATTCCACTTACAAATAGATGCCAGTGCGTATGCTTTGGGAGCCGCATTGTTACAGAAGGCTCCAAATTCTGACCTATTACAACCTGTTTCTTATTTTTCTTCTAAGTTAAAGAAAAACCAAATTAATTATTCAACTATAGAAAAAGAAGCCTTAGCTCTCGTTGTATGCCTAGAGAATTTTATGTATATTTAGGATCCTCTACCCATCAGATATTGGTGTACTCCGATCATAATCCTTTGACCTTCATAAATTCTATGAAATCGAAGAACGCCAGAATACTTCGTTGGGCTTTGAGAATTCAACCCTTCTCTATTACCATTTCCCATATAAAAGGAAAACATAATCTCACTGCTGATGCCCTCTCTAGGCCTTGAAATTTTTATTAATATACCTTTATTTTAACAGTATGAGTCGGTACTTTTATGACCATCTATGTTGTGGAGAAAGCTGGAGATGATGTAGGACTGCTGTCTATGTTACAACCTCTGCTACTATGACAGATGCTACCCACCACAGAGAGTACAAGTCAATGGTGACCGTCAGTCACGAGGGGGGAGGTGTTACGCGCCCCTACTTCACTCCATTATATACAAAAATAAAAGGCCTGGTTAAAATAAGTTCTGTAATAATATATCGCGAACCACTTTATTACTAGCTAGATAAAGCAGGTTCGACTATATATTATTATCGGGTACAGTATGAATCATCAAAAGTACTCTCATTGTATTATATTGTATTATATTATATTATTACAGTGGACCCCCGCATAACGATGGCATCACATAGCGATTAATCCGCATACCGCTTACTTTAATCGCAAAAATTTTGCCGTGCATACCGATTAAAAACCTGCTCACCGATTTTCGTCCGAGACGCGTCCAATGTGCGCCCTCAGCCAGCCTCACATGTGCCGCCCATGCCATTGTTTACCAGCCAGCCTCCGCGGTAATATCCAAGCATACACTCGGAATATTTCGTATTATTACAGTGTTTTCGGTGCTGTTTCTGGAAAATAAGTGACCATGGGCCCCAAGAAAGCTTCTAGTGCCAACCGTACACCAATAAGGGTGAGAATTCCCATTGAAATGAAGAAAGAGATCATTGATAAGTATGAAGTGGAGTGCGTATCGCCGACCTAGTCAAGTTGTACAAAAACCCAATCAACCATCGCTACTATTGTGGGCACCAGAAAGACAATCAAGGAAGCTGTTCTTGCCAAAGGTTTAACTGTGTTTTCGAAACAAAGATCGCAAATGATGGAAGATGTTGAGAGACTCTTATTGGTGTGGATAAATGAAAAACAGCTAGTAGGAGATAGCGTCTCTCAAGCGATCATATGTGAAAAGGCTAGGAAGTTGCATGAGGATTTAATTAAAAAAATGCCTGCAACTAGTGATGATGTGAGTGAATTTAAGGCCAGCAAAGGTTGGTTTGAGAGATTTAAGAAGCGTAGTGGCATCCATAGTGTGATAAGGCATGGTGAGGCTGCCAGTTCGGACCACAAAGCGGCTGAAAAATATGTGCAGGAATTCAAGGAGTACATAGACAGTGAAGGACTGAAACCTGAACAAGTGTTTAATTGTGATGAAACAGGCCTGTTCTGGAAGAAAATGCCAAGCAGGACCTACATTACTCAGGAGGAAAAGGCACTCCCAGGACATAAGCCTATGAAAGACAGGCTTACTTTGTTGATGTGTGCCAATGCTAGTGGTGATTGCAAAGTTAAGCCTTTATTAGTGTATCACTCT